TTGCGCATCCCTTCTCCGGGGCTTTCCCGGGCTTGCAGGCTCCCAGAACTCTTCACAGCTTCCCCTGTCTCGGCTCTGTTCCGTATCCTTCCGAGAAGCACCTTCTGCTCGCGCTATCTCCATGCTTTCTGGCTTTCTGTCGTGAAGCTGCAGTACCCGTGGGTTCAGGACTCTCCATCTGTGCTGTCACATCTTCCTCTGCTCACCCTGCCAACGCAAACCGCTGCTCTGTGACACCCATGGGTGCTTTCCCTCTGTGCCAGTGAAGACCCTGTCTCCCCCAGCTGCCACAGCTGCAAGCGGGGCTGGTGAGAGCTGCGGGAGGAGGGCTGGGGGTCCCGAATCTTGTTTTGCTGGAGCTCTGACTCTGCCTTGCTGGGGTGTAGGACAACACAGAAGCATTTTTTGAAGGGAGTCTGTTTCAGCACATCTTTGCAGAAGGCATCAGGGAGCAAACCTCGGTGGTGCAGAGTGACGGGGTGAGGTCCAAAGAGGTGCCCTGAGTGTGGGCAGGGGATCGAGCGAGTTGGAGGCTGCCTGTAGGGCCACGTTTTCTCTTAATCTCTGCTGCCATTGCATGACCTCCTGACTTCACGATCTCCAAACCTGCCGTGCCACCTCTGAGCTCCTGGCAGGGTTTCTCTCCGCACTGTCCGTCCTGCCACGGAGCTCTGGCTTGCAGGAGAACCTGTGCCAGCACTGACTGGAAAGTCTCCCAAGGGGGCTGCTACCCAGTAACTAGTCCAGGTACCTCCAGTGCGGAGGGCTGGCGTTGCTGCTTCTCAAGGGAGAATTGTAGGTGTTTGGGAGCAAGCTCAAGGCAATTCCCCTCTGCTGTGGAAGAGATGCTGTCTTTAATGATGTATGAGAACTGCCACTTAAAAAAATATTTTCTTGATTGTGCATCTTGCAGCCCAGGCAGGAGCATCCATCTCCATCAAGCATCCCTCAGGAGAGAGCATGGGTATGGAGATACGGAGCTTGGTGGCTCTCTGGAGAAGGGAAGTTCTCAGTGATTTTGCTCTGCAGTGAAGCTTGCTCGTGTGTTTGTTGAAGGCAGGAGCTTTACAGACTGTACGCGAGCCACGCTGCTCATGGGGTAGTCGCACGTTATCCGTTTCCACACCTGCCATCGTGGTTTTGCCAGCCTTTCTGTCAGGAGACAGCAGGTCCCTGCTCTGCCCCAGGGACCCAGAGGACACCTGGGGAAAGAGAAATTGTTTAGCAAGAGCAGAGTAGGCTCTCTCTTCTCTTCTGCCACAGTTTGGGTGCAGGGGAGCACTGTGAGGTGAAGACCTGCTGCTGAAGGGGGATACACCGACCCCCCATGGCTATGGCTGGCCACTCTGACCTCTTCCCTCTCTGCTCTGTCCCCAGTAAAGCTGCTGTGCAGGCGGTTCAGGCCCAGAACCAGATCTGCGTCCTCGATATCGACATCCAGGGCGTGAAGAACATCAAGAGGACAGACCTGAACCCCATCTACATCTCCGTGCAGCCTCCGTCCATAGACATCTTGGTGAGCGACCGCCTTCCTTTGCCGTTAGGCAGTTAGAGGTAATCAGCGTCTTGCTCTGAAGCGGTGGGGGTTCCCCCCTCATTGGTTCATCTCTCAGTTTTTAAGGGCCGTGGAATAGGTGGGGAGGATGTTTCTGAGCACACTGTTACCTCTGCGCAGTCCAACTCCCCAGTCTCTGGCTCCCAGGGATAAATCTTCCTGTGCCCAGTTTTTTGAGTCCCTCCTGTACATTTTCCGCGCCTCAGCGCGGGTTACAGACTCCATCGCAGCGTGGCCAGCCTTTAAATGCATTAGTTGTGCTTAACGCTGGGCAGAGAAGGAGATTTTTGTGCTCAGACTCGCCTGCAGCAGTTGGAGTTAAACCGAGGGAGGCTGGTTCTCTGCAGCACCGGCAATCCTGTACCCCTCTGGTCTTAGGGGGCTGTCGTGTTAAAAGGGTTAAAGGAGCCTGATAAGCAGCAAGGGGAAAGCCCTGCTGAGTCACGAGGTTCAGAGCTGAATCCCCTTGCTTTCTCAGTGCTCTCAGAGAGGAGCCTAGGTGCGGCTGGATTCACTCCTAGTCCCAGGCTTGGTCGTTAAATCATGGAATGCTTTGGGTTGGAAGGGACCTTTAGAGGCCATCCAGCCCAACCCCCCTGCAGTGAGCAGGGACATCTTCAGCTGGATCAGGTTGCTCAGAGCCCCATCCAACCTGGCCTTGAATGTTTCCAGGGATGGGGCATCTCCCACGTCTCGGGGCAACCTGTGCCAGTGTGTCACCACCCTCACAGTAAAAAATTTCTTCCTTATATCTAGTCGAAATCTACCCTCCCTTAGTTTAAAGCCATTGCTCCTTGTCCTATCAGTCCATGGTTTATGTCTAAAGGGTTAAGTATGTGGCCACTTGTCAGATTCAACGTTTGCCTGTCAGAGCCCTCCCAGGGACTTTCACTGAAACGGTTTCGCGAAGTTGAAACAATAGGTGATTTATTCAAGCGACAGGTATCACAGATTTGGGGTTGCCGTTGATAAATGCACTGTCTACAAAAGCTGAGCTCAAGGTAATGATTTAGTGCTTTGATTAACAATGTGTTCCTGAGGATACGTCTGACAAAGTCAGAGGCACGACTCTTACCAAAAAGGCGTCCCTTCTTGGGGGGGAGAGAGGTTCAGGCCTGTCGACGTGTCCGTCAGATTCGTTTGGCTCCCCCTCCAAAGAGGGTTTTCAGGTGCCAGTTTTTATACTGTTGAGATCTTTGGTGAGGTGGTTTCGACATGCTGGGAGCTGGGATCTTCGTACGTGCTGAGGGGGGCCCTCTGTTTTTATCTGAAGCAACATCTGGCTGTGCGGCCTTCGTCACACCCCAGGGGTCACTTGGTTTACAGGGATGGGCCGTCACCCCTTGCTTCTGTCTGATAAGATAAGCGACGCTCATTGTTCAAGTCAACTGCTCCCTTTGTTAACTCCTGGGTTCTTCACCCCCGAGTCCGAGCAAGTCTTCCTCTTGCATTGACAAGTCCAGCAAGGCCACCGATCCATGGGGGCCCGACAGAATGATTGCAGCGTCCCTCTTGCAGAAGTGAAATCACTGTCATGGTTCAGAGAGGGATGTGGACACGCAAAGGCGACTTGCTGAAGCCACGAAGGGGTACGTGGCAGTGGAGGCCAGTGCTCCTGGCTGTCCCCTCTTGCTCTCAGCAGATGAGGCAGTCTGTGTTGCTGAGTTCGGGGAGGAGGAAGCCAACAGCACCAGTTGCCAGAGCCCAGCAGAGAGATTTGATCTCCCAGCAGTACCTGCAAGAAAAAAAAATGGGGGGTGGGGTAAAAAAAGAGACTGGGAACCTGAGCTCTAGGCAGGAGGTGTTGAGCCCAGACTCCGGGCTGTGAATGAGGCCCCTCAGCCTTTGCAGAATGTTGTGAGGGGTGGGTGGTGGTTTCTGCATGCAGCATCTGGAACACTCATTTCTTTAACATATTTGTTGTTGGGTTTAGGAAAAAAGACTACGTGACCGAAAGACTGAGACAGAAGAAAGTTTACGGAAGCGTTTGACTGCAGCCCGCGTAGATTTGGAACTTAGTAAGTCCGGGGGCTTTTGAGCGATGTGCCCAGGAGAAGGGGTGCTTTGGCGATTTAGGAGGTGGTTTTTGCACAAACATCTGATGATGAGGGGACTGGAGCATCTCTCCTACGAGGAAAGGCTGAGGGAGCTGGGCTTGTTCAGCCTG